TAAATATTTACAGGTGCTTACGTATTCATATATTATTTAGTAACCAATTAATATTAGAGGGCGGAAATATAGAGCTGATCGCTTTGAAATATTCCATGAGGATCCAGGTATGGTCAAGGATAACGCCTATAATTATCGTCGATGATCAGTTTATATTTTCTTGCGATGAATTGAATAGAAAACTTAATTTGTTGTGTTTGTACCTTTCACCACACTGTGGTACAGGGTATTAAGTCTTTGTGCATATGTTTGTAACAGCAAAAAGAATCGGGATAGACCCATGGTTCCCTTTGAGAATATGCATAGAATCAATTTCTGAGTCGATTTATGCATGTCCGTCCGTCCGTCTGTTGATGTTAAATTGTAAACAAAGTACAGGTCGCATTTATAATCCGATTTGGCTGAAATTTGGTACATCTCATGTATATGGCCCAAGGATGAACCCAATTGAAATTGGAGGAAATCGGTTCAGAGTTAGATTTAGCTCCCATATATAGTTTCGGCCGATTTAATGTAAATGGTGTACCAAAGTTCCTATATGTCCTTCGATTTGCACGCAATTTGACAGTGCGCACTGTCTAGTCTAGAATGATGTGTGTAAAATTTCTTGAAAATCGGTTCAAATTTAGATATAGCTCCCATATAGAGTTTCGTCCGATTTAAGGTAAATTGTGCATCAATGTTCCTCAACATCGTTGGATATGCACGAATTTTGGCATAGCGTACTGAATTGAGTCTAGATTGACTTGTGCTTATTTTCGTGAAAATCGGTTCAGATTTAGATAGAGCTCCCATATATAGTTTCGCCCGATTTTAGGTAAATGGTATGCCAAAGTCCCTACATATCTTCCGATTTCCACGAAATTTGGTATAGCGTACTGGATTGAGTCTAGAATGATGTGTGTAAAATTTCTTGAAAATCCGCTCAGATTTAGATATAGCTCCCATATATAGTTTCGCCCGATTTTAGGTAAATGGTGCACCAAAGTCCCTCAAGATCTTTCGATTTGCACGAATTTCGGCATAGAGTCCTAAATTAAGTCTAGAATGACGTGTGCTATGTTTCGTGCAAATCGGTTCAGATTTAGATATAGTTCCCATATATAGTTTCGCCCGATTTAAGGTAAATGGTGCACTAAAGATCCATAGGTAGGCCAATTGACACAACGTACTGAAGATAATATAAATTAATCTCTGATAAGTTTCCTTTAAATCGGTTCTGATATAGATAAAGCATAGCTTCCATATATAATTTCGACTAATTCATGTTAATTGTACACCAAATAATCAATTGAGATTAAACTATAAACAGTACAGCATACCGAATATCGTGTGTCAAAGTTCCTTGAAATCGGTTTACAAAATGTAGCATAGGTTGCAGAATGACATGTGTAGGGATTAATGTTAAACGGTTCTGGTATAGATAAAGATCACATATTTAAGTTCGTTCAATTCCATGTCAATTTTCCTTTGAAAAATCGACGTCTTTTATGATACATATGTTGAAAGTGGTGAAGGGTATCATATAGTCGGCCCAGTCCGACTTTCTACTTCCTTACTGTTTTTTTTTTTTTTTCGAGTCGATCTATAGGCCACAATTGAAATGCAAGCAGCACAACAAAAGCCACAGTGAAGGGAATCAGAACAAGCAATTAGAAATGGTGTACTGAATATTAGCAATATTTGCTGACCTCTAGTCTGTCAAGAGGGTGCAACTATCATGTGTAGGGTATCGTATGGTCGGCCCCTTCCGACTATACTGTTCCGCTCACTTGTTTAAATCATATAAAGCTGTTGTTGTTAGAATAGACTGAATAATTGCCGACGAAATGTTGGCCCATGTTGTTGTTGTTTTTGTTATGTTTAACAGCTGAAAGAAATTCATATTTTATTTAAGCCACAAGTACCAAATGTTATATGAGTTTTAGCAATTTATAATATTCCAACTAAATTGTAGTGTACACACAAACGCACCGATATCCATAGGTATATTCTGTGTTTATGTGTGTGTAACTAAATAGTGACGCTACGTGAGCAGTAATATAAGCTTGTCATATATATATTTAATTGTATTTGCAGGCTTGTTTTGTGGAACCTTTTCTTTGGGAACTCTTACTCCTGGGGACACATCCTGGCAAACTTATTATGGGAGTGTGCTCATATTTATATATATTAAGTATTGATACTTGGTGACAAATTTGTTATTTTTTCAGGACAGATATTGCGTGCCTGCAATATCGGCTTTGAACATTGCAACAAGAAAGACTAGGATATATCCCATTCGAAAAAATATGAGTAAATTTACTACTACTATTACTTGTTAAATAGCTACTGCTTACAATCTGATTAAAAACTAATTTCCAACACCAAAATCAAATCCAACCAAAATAATTGCATGACATATCACCATACATACTCTGACATTTCAACTGTTAAAAGGGACTTATTTCGACTTCACACTTTTTTCGGTTCTCCTTCCATCTTAATTTCCTGACATTTTTTACAAATTTCCTCCAAAATTATATATATATATATATATATATAAGTGCACAGTTATATCGTATATAGGTACATACTTGAAGAGGTTGTTATTGTGTTTCTAAGAACAAACATCCAGTTTCGGCTTCATGGTGTGCAAGTTCACTTTGAAATATTCAGGCATCAACAAATGGAATGACACCAACCCCTACAATAGCAACAACACCACACACAGGCACATACAACAGAAAATAAAAGAAAACGAGTTTAAATTTCCGATTTCAATTGCCAACAGTGAACAATGGTAATATATTTATGAATGTATGTCTAGATATTAAAGTGGTACCATATGTATGTCATAAAATTAAAACCAGTAAAGTTCAAAGGTACCCTTCACCAATTTGGCTACATACAAGAGATGTTTATTTACAATATAATGTAGATAGAACAGATTGTAATGACACAAGTTTCCTCCTGTCGCTGGGGTGAGCTCACGGAGGCCAGGGTCCGTTACAGAAATTTGTAATCTAGTGACTGAGAGAGTAATAACACAGATTGTTTGGGTTTTAATCAAAACTTTGGTTTATTGCTTGGTTTTCGGGGAGTTACAATTGGATATTATTATATGTAGGGTTATGCTTTATTAAAATAAATATGTCCTTGTCGTGGCGTTGTGGGAGACCTGGATAAGTTCTCCACTGGTCTGAGCTGAGAGTTCCGGAGACCTCGATACGTACTCCTTCCTTGTTCCGGCTCGAGTCCTTTGTGGGAGACCTGGATAAGTACTCCTTCCTTGTTTCGGCTCGAGTCCTTTGTGGGAGACCTGGATAAGTACTCCCCCCTGTTAGCCCTGTTACTAAGTGCAACTACCTATGGGGTGGTTCAAAACTACTTTGAATACCGAGTTATGTCGTGGTCTTAACGGGTCAAATACACCGTGCCCAAGAGTTGCGGACACTTCAAGGGTTCGTAGAGGGTTAAATACGACGGACCCTAGAGTTACGGACACTTCAAGGGGTTCTTAGATGGTTAAATTTCAACGGGCCCAAGAGTTACGGACACTTCAAGGGTTCTTAGAGGGTTAATTCCGACGGACCCAAGAGTTACGAACACTGCAAGGGGTTTTTGGCGGGTTAAATTCCAACGGGCCCAAGAGTTACGAACACTTCAAGGGTTCTTAGAGGGTTAATTCCGACGGTCCCAAGAGCTACGGACACTTCAAGGGTGATAGAGGGTTAATCCGACGGACCCAAGAGTTACGGACACTGCAAGGGGTTCTTGGCGGGTTAAATTCCAACGGGCCCAAGAGTTACGAACACTTCAAGGGTTCTTAGAGGGTTAGTTCCGACGGTCCCAAGAGCTACGAACACTTCAAGGGGTTCTGAGAGGGTTAAATTCCAACGGGCCCAAGAGTTACGGACACTTCATGGGTTAATTCCGACGAACCCAAGCGTTACGGACACTTCAAGGGGTTCTTAGAGGGTTAAATTCCAACGGGCCCAAGAGTTACGGACACTTCATGGGTTCTTAGAGGGTTAAATTCCAACGGGCCCAAGAGTTACGGACACTTCATGGGTTCATAGAGGGTTAATTCCTACGGACCCAAGAGTTACGAACACTTCAAGGGGTTCTTAGAGGGTTAAATTCCAACGGGCCCAAGAGTTACGGACACTTCATGGGTTCTTAGAGGGTTAAATTCCAACGGGCCCAAGAGTTACGGACACTTCAAGAGGGTTAATTCCGACGGACCCAAGAGTTACGAACACTTCAAGGGGTTCTCACACGGCGCGAGTTAATACTGACCGACCCGAGAGTTACAAACACTTCAAGGGTTCTATCGCGAAGGGACCAAAGAGCTACGGACACTTCTTATGGTATAAAGTTTATGATCACCACTCTGACTCACCTGGTTTTCCAATTGGATAGTTGTCACCTGTTGTCGTCTCCGCCGTTGTTCCCTGACTGATCCCTTTTCTAACAAGAACTTTCCCTTTTATAGTCGTCAGTCACTCTATTCCTGTTGTTGTAACAACGGTCATCACTTTTCCTTATTGTCCGTGGCCGCGCATTCTCGTTACATTCGTTTGTTGTTGTCACTTCGCTAGCCTCTATCCCATTGGTCGATCACTGCCTTGTTACGCCGTTTGTTAGTTGTTAGTGTTGCTTGGTCGTCGCCTGTGTTGCTTTGTTTGTTTGTTGTTCTATTGTTGCGTTGCGTTGTGTGGCCTTGAGTTGATCGACCAATGAACCTAACGGGCAGCCAACATTTGATGTAAACAACAACGAGGGTCGCTTTCACAGTTTGGGAAATTATTATAGTTTATTAATAAAATATATATAGTTTATATATATTTATAATTAAGTTCATTTTAAATTCATTTTAATTTATTTTAAATTCATTTTAAATTCATTTTAAATTCATTTTAATTCATTTTCATTTATATTAAATCTACTGTGTGGACAAAAACGAGGGTATCGACTTTTGTCGTCACACTGCCTCCCTTCCACCGATGAGTCATTTGCTAGCGTTGGCTGACGAATATTTTCCCTTGTCGGTTGACTAGCACCCTCATTTTCTGTCCGCCCACTGTAAATATCCTTTTATATTGTTGGTGTGGCGCACAGCGTCGGACAGCTTCCTGCAAGCAAGGCTGCAACAGTCGCTTGGTCTCGTCCGAAAGCGACTCCCTACACTCGAACGGGATGTATGCACTGGAGGGTGGTGTAGGCGGCGGGATTGTGACCACACTGGGGATTATCGGTACACTCGGACTCCTTAGTTGTTGCAAGCGACGATTCATCCTCGGCTGGGGTGATCCACTTTCAGATTCCGAATCCGGAGTGTACCTTGGGGAGAGAGCTGAGGGTGGATTGCGTCCTGGAGTTGGTGGCAAACCCAAATCAAAGAAAATGCCTCTACCCGGGGTTGGGGGCAAACCACTGACAGATATCGGTGACACATTCGGGGATGGTGTGATGGGGTAGTCACGTTGGGTTCGTCGGGGTGGTGTGGATGGCTCCTCATCATCCGAGGAGATAACGATCGTCTCTATCGGTGGTGGGAGTGTAGGTTGCCTGACACGTCGCTCTTTTATTGGGTGTAAGGGCCTTGTTGAGGTGGTCGGGCTAGCCTGACGTCTCTTGCCTAGTTTTGGTCGCTGCGGAACCGGTGTCACATGCAGGGCGACGTTGAGTTCTTCGTTGGTGAGCCTGGTTAGGCGCACCGAACATGGTTTCATGGAATCGACCAGTTGGTACTGCTGCTTGTAATAAGCTTTGGTGCGCATGCTTTGGGGCTCCATTATAGATGTTTGGATATCTATGGGGGAAGATGAGAATGATTTTTCATTAGTACAAACACAACCTTTAAATTGTTCAGAAGGGGTAACATAAGGTTTCATGTCGCTAAGATGGGCACTTCTTTCATTTTTCCCATCTAACCTACGCACTCTAGCGATAACAGGGGAGAGGAAATTAAGGACCTCAAAAGGACCATCGAATTTTGGTGCCAACTTGGCAGCGAATTTCTCTGTTGCGTTGGATAAAGGATGTTGTTTAACGAGAACCAGGTCCCCAATATTCGGAGTCCACTCGCGTCGCCTCAGATTGTATCGACGCCTCTGTTCTTCCCCTGTTCTGGCCAAATTTCTTTTTACAACCTGAAATATTTCCTGGAGTTCGCTTGCTCTCTGCGATGGCTCCACGACCCGAGCGCCAGACCCGGTGGTGACCTCATCGTATAAGGTTCCCGGGAGTCGAGGTTCCCGTCCTTGCACCAGGAAAGCTGGACTGTATCCCGTAGTCTCCGAGGCGCTCGAATTTATCGCTAGTGAAATCTCAGGAAGATACTCGTCCCATTTGTTATGCTTGCTATCCGCCAGCTGTGCTATTATTGTTTTAATAGTTCTATTAGCCCGTTCCGTGGGGTTCTCCTGTGGACAATATGGCGCTGTAAACTGTCTGCGAACCCCAATCTCTCGCAAATAATTATCCAATAATCGACTCGTGAATTGGCTACCGTTGTCACTAATGAAAACTTTCGGGGCGCCGAAACGTGCTAGGATCCTTTCACGGAAGGCTCTGACCACTCCTTCCGCTGTAGCCTTCCGCATGGCGACCAATTCCACCCATTTGGTGAAACGGTCGATGAATACTAGGAGCATGGAATTCCCGTGTTTTGTCCGCGGCATGGGGCCAACAAAATCGGCGCATATGGTCGCCCATGGCTCTTCTGGTATCGACAGTAACATTTCTCCCGCCGGTGCCATCTGATTGACCTTATACTTTTGACAAGATTCACAGCATCTCACGAATCTGGCGATGTCACGAGCCATCCCGGGCCAATAATAACGAGCTCCAACCTTCTGAATGGTTTTGCGTATTCCTAAATGACCGGCTGCAGGTTGGCTATGATTCTCATGGAGTACCCGTTCCCGTAGATGGGATGGAACGCACAGTTTCCACGGCACGTCATCGTCGTCGTTAGTGGTTTTCTGGATGTGCCGGTAAAGCTGGGTACCTACAATGGAATAATCGGGGAATTTTTTTGGATTTGCCTTGACTGTCTCCACTTTCTCCTTAAACCACTGACATTCTGCAAATGATTCCTCGACGGCGCGCTGCAGGGATTCGATAGGGTGCCGTGACAAAGTATCTGCCACCACATTTAACGAGCCTTTCCGATATTGTACTGTAAAGTTGTATTGTTGGAGTTCCAAAGCCCACCGGGCCAGTCTACCAGTGGGATTATCAATCGAGTTCAGCCATTTCAACGCTAAATGGTCGGTGATCACGAGGAAATTGTATCCTTCAATATACTCCCGCATTTTCCGAATGCCCCAAACTATTGCCAAGCACTCCTTTTCTGTGGCAGAGTAGTTCCTTTCGGCTCCAATCAACGTGCGACTAGCATAGGCTATCACCCGTTCGCCTTCGTCAAATATTTGGGTCAGAACTGCTCCCAAACCATAGTCACTGGCGTCGGTTTGAAGAATAAATTTTCTGGTGAAATCAGGGCAGGCTAAAACCGGTGCCTGCGTGAGCCGTGCCTTTAATACTTCGAACACCGTCTGCTGGTCCTCCGTCCACCTCCAGTGTTTTCCTTTTTTCAGAAGCGATGTGAGCGGCTGGGCTAGGGTAGCGAAATCCGGTACAAACCTTCGGTACCATGAAACCACACCCAAAAACCGGCGCAGCTCCTTAAGGGTTTCGGGTGCTGTCATTTCTTGTATTGCTGCTACCTTGTCCGGATCCGTGTGTATCCCATTTCCGCTGACAACATGGCCCAGGTACTTGGTTTCCTTTTTAAAGAATTCGCATTTGTCGGGATTGATGCGTAGCCGAGCTTCACGTAATCGCCGAAATACCTCCCGAAGATTGTGTAAATGTTCTTCCAGCGATTTTCCTATAACGATTATGTCGTCCAAATAGGCGAACGCGTGTGGTTCCATCTCGGGTCCAATTATACTATCCAATGCTCTCTGGAATGTGGCGGGAGCCGAATGGAGACCGAACGGCATAACCTTCCATTGATATAACCCTCGACCTGCAACTGTGAATGCGGTATACTTTCTGCTCTGTTCTTCCATCGGTATCTGCCAATATCCGTCTTTCAGGTCGAGGCTGCTGACAAATTTTGCCTCCCGAAGGCGGTTTAAGATGGAATCTATCCTTGGGAGAGGGTACGCGTCTGGTTCGGATTTACTATTTAGTTGCCGAAAGTCTATACATAGCCTCCACGTACCGTTCTTCTTCTTTGCTAGCGTAATCGGGGAACTATAAGGACTGCGCGAGGGTTCTATATATCCTTGTGCCAGGAGCTCGTTGATTTTGCCGTCGATGATTGCCTGCATGGCCGGGTTCCGAGGTGCATACCTGAGTTTGAACGGCCGGTCGTCCTTCATCGAGATCTTGTGCGTGGCAATCGTGGAAGGGCCGCATATGTCGCTAAATTTCTGAAGCTCTCCTTCTAAAAAATCCTGTATCCTTTTTTGTTCTTTAAGTTCAACACCACTTACCGTGTCATATCCGGAAGTCTCACGCATTTGGTCATCTTTTGTCAGATCCGCAGTGATCATTGTCTGGTGTCGGTGCTGCTCCGGCTGAACCTTAAATACGCAAGTAAGACCGGCGCACGTTATACGGGCTTCAACTTCTGTTAAAAAGTTTAGGCCAAGAATCAAATCTTCCGTGGCATCCGGCATAACAAGAAGCCGCATTCTAATTCGTCGGTTGCCGAAGGTAAAGAGACTATCAACAGCTTCCAAAACTTGACGTTGTGAGCCATCCGCCAAGGTGACTGTTGCGGCGTATGGAACACTCGGGGACTCGGTCTGAAGACTTGCGGCTAATTGCTCACTGATGAAACTGCTCGTTGCACCGGTGTCAACTGTGGCAGGGATATGTCGGCCGGCTATAATTATAGACGCCACAAGTCTTGTACCCTCAACGCGGAGAGATGTGCTTAGAGGAGGGGCCTTGTCTTCTCTGACGGATTCGCTTCCCCTCGAGTTGTGCGAATCCGAATGTCGTTTCCCGACGGCAGGCGGCAACAGTCTATCGTGCGTGTTCCTCTCAGTCCGCAGACCCAGCAAAATAGTACCTGTGGGTTCTGACAGCGCGCAGCAAAATGTCCCTGTTGAGCACAGCGCCGGCATGCAGTTTTTGGGTCGATGTGTCCTTGTGACGGCTCCATATTTGTGGGTTCCATAAGTCGATGCTGCTCTCGAACGGGACCGGTACCCGGCGGTAGACTCTCGAGATCCTCAGCCATCTCCAATAGTTCTCTCAACGTTATGAAATCCCGACGGCGAATGTACCACAGATACTCGGGTAACGCGTTCCGGAAGATCCGTTCTAGTTTCTGGTCCTCACTGTAGGTGGTATGCCGCATGAGATTCTGCATACACAGGGTATAGGCTTTAAATGTCTCACGATGTTTCTGCTTCCTTTTCCTTATCTCATCCTCCAGTTGCTCGAAGTAGCGTGCCGGCAAGAAAAAATGAAGAAAATCCTCTCGAAATGATGTCCACGACGGCCAATGTCTATTATTCGCGCGAAACCAGATCAAGGCATTTTCTCGTAAGACCTCTGGCATCATTCGGGGTAATTCATCCATGTCCACCTCGTACATGTGTGCCAACTCTTCTAGTCGTTCCACGAACTCCAGAGGTCCGCGTGTCCCGTCATAGGTTATATTCCATTTTCGCACCTGATCCGCCACAACCCGGGGGTCTCTGACGGCGGGAACATCTGGTTTATGCAATATTGTGGTCCTTCCTCCAGTCTCGTTAGCCTTTTCGGATCCACCTTTCTCTACACTTGGTGTAGGCGCAGAGGTAATGGAGATGCTGGGTGTTTTCATTGGAGTGAGGTATTTGGCCTCCTGGCTGGTTGAAGGTCTCTCATGCCGCTCTTGTAGTTCCAAAAACCGATCCAACTGCTCTTGCGTGCACTCGTCCGATAGCAGCAGAGCAAACCTTCTTCGAAGTTCATCCACTGTTCCTGTTGTTTGACATCCAAATTCCTCCAAATACGTCAATAAATCTTCCTTACGCAGCGTATACGCCCATGAGACACGTAATGAGGGCGCCATTATATAAATAACCAAATATAACTTCCTCGAAGAACCTCTAAACCGGTTATAGTCTCTCAAGTCCCTGCTCGGGCGCCACTGTAATGACACAAGTTTCCTCCTGTCGCTGGGGTGAGCTCACGGAGGCCAGGGTCCGTTACAGAAATTTGTAATCTAGTGACTGAGAGAGTAATAACACAGATTGTTTGGGTTTTAATCAAAACTTTGGTTTATTGCTTGGTTTTCGGGGAGTTACAATTGGATATTATTATATGTAGGGTTATGCTTTATTAAAATAAATATGTCCTTGTCGTGGCGTTGTGGGAGACCTGGATAAGTTCTCCACTGGTCTGAGCTGAGAGTTCCGGAGACCTCGATAAGTACTCCTTCCTTGTTCCGGCTCGAGTCCTTTGTGGGAGACCTGGATAAGTACTCCTTCCTTGTTTCGGCTCGAGTCCTTTGTGGGAGACCTGGATAAGTACTCCCCCCTGTTAGCCCTGTTACTAAGTGCAACTACCTATGGGGTGGTTCAAAACTACTTTGAATACCGAGTTATGTCGTGGTCTTAACGGGTCAAATACACCGTGCCCAAGAGTTGCGGACACTTCAAGGGTTCGTAGAGGGTTAAATACGACGGACCCTAGAGTTACGGACACTTCAAGGGGTTCTTAGATGGTTAAATTTCAACGGGCCCAAGAGTTACGGACACTTCAAGGGTTCTTAGAGGGTTAATTCCGACGGACCCAAGAGTTACGAACACTGCAAGGGGTTTTTGGCGGGTTAAATTCCAACGGGCCCAAGAGTTACGAACACTTCAAGGGTTCTTAGAGGGTTAATTCCGACGGTCCCAAGAGCTACGGACACTTCAAGGGTGATAGAGGGTTAATCCGACGGACCCAAGAGTTACGGACACTGCAAGGGGTTCTTGGCGGGTTAAATTCCAACGGGCCCAAGAGTTACGAACACTTCAAGGGTTCTTAGAGGGTTAGTTCCGACGGTCCCAAGAGCTACGAACACTTCAAGGGGTTCTGAGAGGGTTAAATTCCAACGGGCCCAAGAGTTACGGACACTTCATGGGTTCTTAGAGGGTTAATTCCGACGGACCCAAGAGTTACGAACACTTCAAGGGGTTCTTAGAGGGTTAAATTCCAACGGGCCCAAGAGTTACGGACACTTCATGGGGTTCTTGGCGGGTTACATTCCAACGGGCCCAAGAGTTACGAACACTTCAAGGGTTCTTAGAGGGTTAATTCCGACGGACCCAAGAGTTACGAACACTTCAAGGGGTTCTTAGAGGGTTAAATTCCAACGGGCCCAAGAGTTACGGACACTTCATGGGTTCTTAGAGGGTTAATTCCGACGGACCCAAGAGTTACGAACACTTCAAGGGGTTCTCACACGGCGCGAGTTAATACTGACCGACCCGAGAGTTACAAACACTTCAAGGGTTCTATCGCGAAGGGACCAAAGAGCTACGGACACTTCTTATGGTATAAAGTTTATGATCACCACTCTGACTCACCTGGTTTTCCAATTGGATAGTTGTCACCTGTTGTCGTCTCCGCCGTTGTTCCCTGACTGATCCCTTTTCTAACAAGAACTTTCCCTTTTATAGTCGTCAGTCACTCTATTCCTGTTGTTGTAACAACGGTCATCACTTTTCCTTATTGTCCGTGGCCGCGCATTCTCGTTACATTCGTTTGTTGTTGTCACTTCGCTAGCCTCTATCCCATTGGTCGATCACTGCCTTGTTACGCCGTTTGTTAGTTGTTAGTGTTGCTTGGTCGTCGCCTGTGTTGCTTTGTTTGTTTGTTGTTCTATTGTTGCGTTGCGTTGTGTGGCCTTGAGTTGATCGACCAATGAACCTAACGGGCAGCCAACATTTGATGTAAACAACAACGAGGGTCGCTTTCACAGTTTGGGAAATTATTATAGTTTATTAATAAAATATATATAGTTTATATATATTTATAATTAAGTTCATTTTAAATTCATTTTAATTTATTTTAAATTCATTTTAAATTCATTTTAATTCATTTTCATTTATATTAAATCTACTGTGTGGACAAAAACGAGGGTATCGACTTTTGTCGTCACATTCAGCAAGCATAATATTTAATTCAGCTATATTTTTTTCAAATTCAGATCAGATGAATATGTGATTTCTTAAAAAAATATTACATTTTCAGATGATAAATATGGTTTCTACTACAATTCAGCTGTGATAAACAGTTATTTAGCTGTACATTATTACAAAAATATCCTGCGATTGAAATTTCCATAAATTTTTCATTTCTGTGTGTGTGTGTGAATGATGTTTACTATTATTGCCCTGCAAACGAAATGACTGAGTGAACAGTTTAGAAACAAAACACATTAAAGGCTCCATGAATGGAGAGACACAATTAAGTTTAAAAGTCAATGCTAACAGAAAAACATTGGTCACCCCTCTTCCTCCTCCCCCTGAAGTTTTATTATTTGCCCAGTTCATTCAGTTATATAATTTACATACACTTTATTGCTTGTAAAGAAGAAAAACCATAAACTTTGGCGAACTCTATGAATACTAAGAATAACTGCTGCAGCATCCCCTGGCCCGTTCTCATCCGCGGAATGACAGCCATATAATACGAAATGATTTTCTGTTAAGCGGCCAGGACATTAAAGTGAAACGAAACGTAGCACTGAATGCAAAGCAAAAATGGTAAAACAAACGACCATAAAACAGATGTTGTAAAATCTGAACCATGGCTTGAGCCGAAGTTGCTGGAGGAGGGAACGGGAGAGGGCATCGGAGTATTCGATGGCAGGATGGATGAATGAAGGAAAGTCGAACTTTTTGAAAACTTTCAATGTTTCAATGGGCGTGCAACACAGCCATTTTGCTTTTGCAATGCAACTGACTATTTCAGAGAGAGAGAGAGAGAGAGAGGTAGTGAGTGGGAGTGAATTGAAAAACGCATAATGGAGTTTAACAAACAAAGGTAAGCGTTGTGTAAAATACAAAATCAATTGATGACCAAGAAACAATTTTTTTCGCAACGTTCAGCTAATGGAGGACATTGTTAAGTTTACGTGGTCGACAAGGAAAAATCAGAAGATTCTGAAAAAAATAAAGAAAGTGAACAAATATAGGAAAACTTACAAAAATAATTTCAAAGTCGTTAGGGAAAAACTGCTTCTTTGAAAAATGTTTTTTGATTTCAAAAAATAGCAATGGGATTGTAATTCAGCAAAGCTGAATTGCACTAAATTTGCGACCTTTAATTTTAAAGTTTTTTTAAGAAAATTATCATTTTTAACCAATTCAGCTTAGCTGAATTGCGAAAATATAAATGGATTTGCTATTCAGCAAAGTCGAGTTGCATTGCTTCCGTCAACATAAATAAAATTTGAAAGTTTTTTAAGAAAATTTTTATTTTTGGCCAATTCAGCTTAGCTGAATTGCAGAAATAACAATGGAATCGGAATTCAGCAAAGCTGAATTGCATTATCATCATAAACCTAAATGAAATTAGAAAGTTTTTTAAGAAAATTTAAATTTTTGGCCAATTCAGCTAAGCTCAATTGCAGAAATACCAATGGATCCTAATTCAGCAAAGCTTAATTGCACTAAATTTGCGGAGTTTAATAAAATTTAAATTTTTTGTAAAGATTTTTTGGCTAGCTGAATTGCTGAAATATCAATGGAATCGGAATTCAGCAAAGCTGAATAGCATTATCATCATAAACCTAAATGAAATTAGAAAAATTTTCACGAAAATTGCAATATTTGGCCAATTCAGCTTAGCTGAATTGGAATCGGAATTCAGCATAGCTGAATTGCATTAAATCCATGAATTTTAAATTTTTTAAAGAAAATTTTAATTTTAGACAAATTCAGCTTAGCTGAATTGCAAAAATACCAATGGAATCGGAATTCAGCAAAGTTGAATTGCTTTAAATTTATCTTTTTTATTTCATTAAATTCATCTTTTAATCAAATTTGAAAGTTTTTTAAGAAAACTTTAATTTTTGACCAATTAAGCTTAGCTGAATTGTAGAAGTACCAATGGAATCGGAAATCAGCAGTGTGGAATTGCATGATCTTTATTAACTCCAATAAAATTTCCAAGTTTTTAAACAAAATGTTATTTTTTGGCCAATTCAGCTTAGCTGAATTGCAGAAATACAAATATAGTCGGAATTCAGCAAAGCTGAATAGCATTATCATCAAAAGCTTAAATTATATTTGAAGGCTTTTTAAGAAAATTTAAATTTTTTGCCAATTCAGCTTACCTGATTTGCAGGACTTTCAAGTTTTTAATATTTTTCAGTTGGAGTTTGGAAAGAAATCCACAAACGGTTTAATTCAGCTTAGCTGAATATAAAAATTCGTAATGGAAGTGCAATTCAGCAAAGCTAAATAATAAATTTTGCAAATATTGACAACTTTTTCAAAAAAATTGTCAATATTCAGCTTAGTTGAATTGCGGGAAACTGCAATTTTTTGAAGATTCTATTAAATTTTCAAAGAATATCGACAAAAATGGCAATTCAGCCTAGCTGAATTGCAGGAAACTTAAAAAATGTTATATATTTCTGTTTTATTTTTCAAGTAAATTCCCTAAAAACTTATTTCAGCTTAGCTGAATTGCAAAAAATGCAATGGAAATGCAATTCAGCAAAGCGCAAAAGCCTAAAATTCCATTTAATCGATAAAATTGACTAATTAAGGTTAACTAAATTTTAGGAAACATAAGTAGTTTATAGTTTTCTCTAATATTTTAAAAGAAAATCCAATAAAAATCTAATTCAGCTTAGCTGAATTACAGAAAATCGTTATGATTTTGAATTTTTCACATGAATTTCTAAAGAAATTTCACTGAAAACTTTATTAAGCTCAGTTGAATTGATAAAATTCCAATGGAATTGCAATTCAGCTAAGCTGAATATCTTCAAATGATCTTCGTTGTACAAAATTTACTTAATTTGTCAAATTTCATATCAACTCAGCTCAGCTGAATAGCCGAATACTGCAA